ATGGCATGATACGTAAATGTACACGTTTTTTTTTTGCAATCTAATCCAATCAGTACATAATATTTAAAAAACATGTTTAAAACATTTATTTAATATTTTTACGTTAAATAAATATTTAAAAAATATTTTTTAAATATTTTTTTAACATTGTATGCTGATTAAGAATCTAACCCTAAGTAGTGCATGTACATTTGTTGCACTAAAAATGAAATAGTCAGTTTTAGTGCGATCCAGTGCAAATAAAGAGAGCAGGTCTATAATTGGTTACACCCATAGCTCGCGCATGTGCAGTTCATTTTCGTACACGCCGACATAAAAAGGTGCCGACAGGGAGTTGCGCTACTGTATGTACTGTGGTACTGTGGTTCGGTCTCCTCTTCTCTTACTTCTTGATGTCGAAATAAGAGGTGAGTTAGGTTAGGACCGTTAGGACCTGCTACGGATATATGTATATTTTAAATCTGCATTGATAATTTATTTTAACAATGAAGGTGGATTACAAAGGACGGATCAAGAAAAAAACAGCTAAATTAAAATCACAAAACATTAAAAAGTAAGTAAAGTAATTCGAGATTGAACGAAGATATTCATTCATTGTTCACGACATTCTTGAAGCAACTGTAATTTCGATTAATTAATTCATAATTATTTAAAGTAAAATTTTTATGTTAAATCTTTATTCTTATTAATTTCTGTTTATATAATTTATTGTATTTTAGTTTTTTTTTTGTACATTAAACAACATATAATTGTTTACAAATAAAACTGATGTTAAGTGAGTGGCTGATTAAGTTTTAATCGGTATTCTATTAAAGTTATAATAAAATTTGTGGTGTTGTATGAACTGTCTATTGTACAATGTTAAATGTTTATTGTACATGTTCATTTTTGTTACGTTTGTGATTCTAGAAAATTAACAGCACAAAAAGCTCATCAGAAGAAAATGCAGGCTGCTTGTAAAAACAGCTGTAAAGGTAAGACCACTGTAAATTTGATAGATGATGACTATGCTAGTGACATGCAAAAAATTTCTTTGTCAGATGAATCAATAAACAATTCTATACCGAGAAGAACCTTTCAGGCCAATTTTAAACACAAGAAGAAAGACTCTGACACTGAAGAAAATGGTAACAAAATATCTAAGACTCAATGTATGTAATACAGAGAGAATTTACTTTTTTTATTTATATTATATTACCACTAATTTGTTTTGATATATAATTAGGATATCTTTTGTTAATATTCTTAATTTTGTAATTATTTGAATTTTAGATTTTATAATTGATTCCAAAGAACGGGATGATCTAGAACAGCAGATAAATGGAGAAATAGATGCTTGGAAGTTGGATACTTCTGATAGTGAGATACAAGAGGATAACGATTGGACTCGTACTGCTCTCAAAGAGAAAAGAAATTTAGGTACACCTTTTGTAATCGATACAAAAATGGATGTTTTCACTAAAATAAACTTGCCACAGATATTTGAACCTGAACAAATGACATTAGACAAGGAAATGATTTGCAATGATACTTTTGAGATAAATTCATTGATCAATACGGATGGAGTCTTCATGACGGATGTAAATTCTATAAATTCTATGTTCAACAATATAGAAATTAAACATTTAGAATTAGCATCACCTGTACCATCAAGTGTAACTAAGAATGATGAAGATGTCAGTGATAACAGATTAAATACCATTAGTGCTAATGTATATAATATAAAGAGTCCTATTAAAAATCCTGTGCGCAAAAAATTTACTAAAAATAACAGTCATCAGTTTACGAATCATAATAGTGATACAAAAGCAAGGAGGCATAAAAGTTTGCATCAACATATGAATCAGAGAGTACCAAAAATTTACTGCTTAAGGAACATAGTCATTGTTATAATGGAAAATGAGAGTAGACTCTGTTTCACTGGCAAGTTGTTAGTAAAAGTATTGTATGGCGCCGTGAAAATTTATGGTTTCATACTAAACAAGTCAACTGATACTACAGAAGTATACTCTCCACGTGGTTATAGCAATATCGCCATAGAAACTAGCCAGGAATTCCTGGAAGGCAGTGTCGAAGATGTGTGGACAGTGCTTGCTGTGAATGGTATTACTCGAGACTCTGAGAGTAAATTGCAGATTGACGTTGACAATGTCCAACCAGGAACGGCTATCTTTATGCTGCAAAATTTTGAAAACAATTTGACGCTCTTTTTAGATACCCACTTCTCATACTTCAAATTGTTCCCGAAGGTGACGAATCCTCACTATTTTTCATGGACAGATCCTAGACGAGCCGAGATAATACTACAAGCGAAACTGTGCCTTGAGCAATACAATTTTAAATATAAACGTTTGATTATCAGTCCCTATATCACAGATATTGCAGAGAAGATGCTGAATCACTGGCGCGAGAATGAATGGTCTTGCACGCTGATCGCTGGTGGTAAAAGCGTCGGCAAGTCCACCAGTATACGATGTTTGATCAACAGTTTGTTGGCCACGTCGAAGAAAGTAGTTTTGATAGATGTAGATCCTGGACAGGCAGAGTGTACACCGCCCGGTTGCATCTCGTAGCTTGATCGAGGAACCATTGATGGGACCGAATTTCACACATCTAAAGACACCGATTTACCAACTGTTTATTGATGATGTAAACGTTACCCGATGCATCACGCGTTATCTGGAAGGCATTAAGATGTTGATCAAGAAATTGAAAGAGTGTCCCATTCTGTCTCGTTTGCCTATTGTAGTGAACACAATGGGTTTTCCAAAGAGTCTTGGTTGGAATATTGTAATCTTCACAATAAAATTGATTAGGCCCTCGATCATCCTACAGATTATGTCGTCAAAAAAAAAGAATAATTATGACGACATTCTCAGTGCGGAAGTTGTAAACAAACAGGTAATATACAACTTTTTTAAATAAATATGTATTGTTGAATAATCAATTCCTAAAAAAAAGACGTTTAACAGGAATGTTCGTGGACATTTTGCGATGAAACATTCATCGATTGGAATAGACCATGTGAGCACGACTTTTGCATGATCTACTCCGAGGCGGAGATAGCGCGAAAGAATGAGTTTAACATTGAACCATATCAAATACGTGAACTTTTGATGTTATCTTATCTTAGCAGTATTGTGCACAACAAAAATGATTCCATGTAAGCTTCATAATTATATACTTTACATTGTTTCATGTTTTATACAAGAAAACATCATAATTTTAATTTCAACGTTTGTTATTTCAGCCAGTGCAACACAGAACTTTCATTCAATATTAACGAAGTAGTGCCGTATATGTCAGTATCTTATTGGCATGTGAATATTGAATAATGATGAACATACATGAATATCTTGATATGTATTTACAGGGCATCATTTTCTTCCTTATGCATTATACCTCAACGATTATTTGGAATACCAGCATCACATGCCTTAAATGTCATAAATGGTAACATTGTAGCGCTATGCGGTATAGATTTAACGAAGGAATCTCCAGAAAAGTCCATAGATATCTCCAATCTTCAAGTATTGACGCAAAGATCTCCTTTATGTACATGCTACGGGTTTGGTAAGTAGTGATACTTTTGCGTGAACTTTTTTAACAAATATTTCCGAATAGTTTTTAAATGTATAAAGAAAATATACCTGTCTTTCTTTCTTGTATTATTGTATAGGCATAATTCGAGGTATCGATATGGAACGACAGGAAGTATTTATAATTACTCCGTTACCGATATCAATCATGCAATACGTTAACTGCTTGGTGGGTTGTATGCCTGTTCCTCCGACATTGCTGAAGTTGCATCAAGGTGCTCCTTATGTTGGAGGAAATGCAACATTGCCAACGAGTCGTGAACCTCGTAGAGGATACTTTAGGATGAGATATCAAAACAAAAATAAGTCAAGTAAATCAGAATGAATCATATTACATGCGCGCTGATATATATTTTTGATAAATGCTTGTTAATTTAAGGGGGCAATTCAGTAAAATTTTTTACATTTCTTTTTGAAAAATTGATTCTTACAAATATGCTCTTAAAATATTTTCATGAAATTCGAAGTATTTCTCGAGTTACGTGAATAGCGGCGCACAATGCTGAGATGTAATTTTTTGTATACCTACGTTTCATTTTAGAGGTGTTGAAATCATCCGAAATATTTTATTTATCTGTTATCGGCTACAGACTATCGGCTACAGAATCATCAATTTTTACTGTGTGTCTTGCGAAATGCGTTATACGAAAGCGGAAAAAATCGATGTGATTTTCATCTATGGTGATCTATATATTTCGCAAGACACGCACTTCGATCGATAGATAAATTCAAACTGATCAGTAAATATGGATAATTCTACGTACGATTCAATGTTTATTTACATACCATGATACACTTGAACGATTAGCGGTATACCAAGTAGAAAAGACACGAAATTATTCGAGTGCTTTGAAACAATTTATTTTCCATTATTGATTTTGTGTAACCTTGAATGACTTTCAATTATTCGTCTTGAAATGCTCTATCAGAATGTAAATAAAAAAAACACATTTGACCTTTGCCTATCCTTTACGCCTCCACTTAAAAAATTGACATTACATTACGTGCCCCTCGAAACCAAGCAACTTTTGTTTGATATATTTTTTCTTCTATTGTTAAAAACAAGCGAGTTTTATTCAGGTGATCTGTTTTAAATGCCTTACCTTGTATTCTGACATACAAAAATTCTTAAAGTGTCTTTAAAGCGTGCCCAATTGATGTATCATTTAATATATTTTTTCTCAAACTTATAATTACTTTAAAAAACTTATACCTTACTTGATAAAGATGAACTCTTTTATAGGTCTTTACTCTGTTTTACCCCCTTAAACAAAATAAGAATGTTTCACAGACTGTACTACATTTTCAGTCGTAATAGTTTATTTTGTACAGTTGATGATTATATTATTTTGTTTTAAGTGTTAAAGGAATTAAAGGTATTATATTTTTCTATATATTTATATCAATTTCTGTGTCATGCTAAGATAACTCTCCTGAGAAGTAAAATAGATGTAAATTTTCTGATTGTACGTATGTGTGTGTGTGTGTGTGTGTGTATATATACAGGATATGATTGTTAATTATATGTCCATACTTTACAGAAATGAACGTAGCGCTTAAAAGAAGAAAATGATATCACAATTAATAAAGACTAAATAACCTATTATATATATCCTTTCCTTGTTTTAATCACTAGAATGTTCATGCAATTAAAAATAAAATAATAATATCACGAATATTGACATTTATTAAGAATCATACTGTATATGTAAAAAAATTATGTGCTATACAATTTGATATAGTGTCCTAAAAAGGTAGGGACCCCTGAATATCTCGGGAAATATAAGTTTAATAGAAAAGTGTTTCAAACAAAGGTGGGGTAGGCTTTAAAAAGGCTTCACCAATTTGGCGTCACCAAAATCAGTAAATAGATCCTTTTAATGTAACTTTTGTCTGAAATACTTTTTTATAAAATTTATATTTTTTGAGATATTTAGATGTCTCTCACTTTTTCAGAACGTTCAGTATATATTAAGATTCATTACATATATTAGGCCCGTATTCAGAACGCGTTTACAACGATGTTAATGCTCGTGCTATTGTTTGCGTTACGCATACTACAGAATTT